AGGGTCCGGTTCTGCCACCCGCCATAAATATTCTCATCCTGCCTCCAATAATCCTGCCAAATTTAAGCGTTCTAGGTCAATGGGGACGAGAGTTATGATTTTCCGCTGAAGCATTCATTGCGTACAAACCCCGCGCCCTGTGGGGCGGAGTCCGGTCGTGCCACCCACCATATGTGTTCCCATCCTGCCGCCTGTGCTCCAGCCAAGTTTGAACGCCCTAGGGCTAAACTAATAAGTTTGGCGCAAATCCCGCCCTGTAGACAGGGTCCGGTTCTGCCACCCGCCATAAATATTCTCATCCTGCCTCCAATAATCCTGCCAAATTTAAGCGTTCTAGGTCAATGGGGACGAGAGTTATGATTTTCCGCTGAAGCATTCATTGCGTACAAACCCCGCGCCCTGTGGGGCGGAGTCCGGTCGTGCCACCCACCATATGTGTTCCCATCCTGCCGCCTGTGCTCCTACCGAATTTGAACATTCTAGGTCCACGGAGACAGGAGTTATGAATTTCCGTGCAAACAAACACACAAACAGACAGACAGACAGACAGACGCGAGCGCTTTATATATAGTACGGATCGCTAAGCGTGTCTGTTGGTTTGTCGATGTGTGTTTGACCGAAAATTCATAGCTCCCGTTCCCGCGGACCTAGAGCGTTCAAATTCGGTGGGGTACAGGCGGCTCGATGGGAACACCCATGGCAGGTGGCAGAACCAGACTCCGCCCACAGGGGGAGGGGTGGGCGCGGTAGACATTTTCGACAGCAACGCGACTCTAGGCCTATAGCGTTGAAACTTGTTAATAGTACAGGCGGCAGGGTTTGAACACCTTTGGTGGGTGGTAGACAAGATTTCGCCCACAAGCGGTGGGCTTCGCGCGGAATGATTGGTCGAGCGGGTTTGTATATTCTCTGCTTCCGTGGACGTAGTGTTCAAACTTGGTAGGATTACAGCTTTTTATATCAAAACAAAAGTGGGACCTCGGCATTTTGATAGGTGAGTAAGATATGACGGGATGTAGGTACTCGATGATAGCAACCGATGATGGCTGACGAGAGAAGATAAGGGGTCTAACAGAGCAAGAGCCAACCGATCAAAATCTTAGCGCCTTCAGAATATATGATGCAGCTTTGATTGTGTAATTTTAGTGTTTCATTCGCTAAGACGGGATGGTAGAGTAGGGTGACAAAAGTTAGTGGTAAGTACAGTGATAGGGACCCATTAGCGGCACTACGACAAGCAGCTGGAAATTTTGTTCATTTTTTGCCATTAGATTACAACCGCTACTCAGCAGGGTTTGTGAATTATTCGAAGATCCTCTTTGTTAGATATCATTTGCGACAGAATTTAACCGACCGCCAGTTATCTGGAATCCTCATTTAATGATATCTCTGTAATGATAAAGGTTCGTTGACAACAACATTTGATAATGGTGTTGTCATCCCTCGAAACATCTGTGAGTACCATCCAAGGCTTCGGTTAGTTGACAGTTGAGTCTTTATTGGGCATTCATCCTCAAGAAAGAAAGCGAAAGATCGAGACTTCCTATTGAAGGCGTGAGCACCGACTTACACTGAACGCCATTTGTACTGTTCTGTTAGTCCTGTGTCAAAATTCGTGACAGAAAAATATTATTTGTTATATAGAAGGAGTGGAGAGTTAGCCGACTACTACAACTTTGCCGGAGAAGGGGGGAAGCCCTGTGTTAGCCGAGCGGACCGACTGGTCAGTCAATAATCAGTCTCTACACAGAACACTTCGAATCCTTAAAACCAACCGGAAATAGGGGAAGAGGGAAGTGGGCCTATTGTCAGGGAAGAAGAAATATTTGCCAGAAAAATGAGACATCGCTCTCCTTCTAAGGCGTCGAAGTCTTCTCATTCAATCAGTCTAAGGAGGTCACGCATTCCTCTGCGTTGAATCCTGCTTGATATGGTATATTTTCCGTGATTCTATGATTTTCCTTTCTAGGGGCCATACCAAATATCTATCTCACATCGGAAGATAGAGCGTTCTTTCTCATGCTTGAGTGTTTGATGCCTGGAAGACCTGTTGTCTGTTGTTATCGGAAGCCACTGTTCGGGTGTAAATGCAAGTCTCAACGCAATCTAGCATCGAAACCTTACTGCAGAAGCTACAACAATAACAACAACGACAACGAAATTGATTGAAATTTTACTCCAAAGTTTACTATATGGATTTTTACAGATTATTTGTAATTGTGCATAAATGCTCAATGGCATCATAGTTGTCGTTAAGAGATGGCATCATCGGTGACTTCACGCGAAGGAATTACACGATACCCTTGGTCGCCAACCATCTGAAAGTCATACTATTCTGTTTACACAGCTATCGATCTCTGCTCGGCTTACCTTTAGCGATATTCGAAGAGTTTCGGGTTTGGCGCCGTTTTTGTCCGCTTGCTTGAAAAATTCTTTACAGTCTTCAACATCCTTGTCACATTCCAGAAATTGTAGGATGAGCTTGTCTGAGCGAGCAGGGCCTGGAAGGGAAGGGGTCAGGCCGTTCGTAACCACCAAGAAGTTTAAGGAACATGAATCCAGTCTGTTGCACTGTTAAAGAGGATTCATGAAGAGGTTGTTCAATAGTCTTGAAAGGTCACGTAGGGGAGTGAGTGAGTGGAGATTGAGAGGGGGCGGGTTGGAGGTGAAAGGTTCATTGTTTATGGGTGTTGAAGCTCAAAAAACTTCAGTGTAACTCAACTAGATTATCTCAGTCTCGTCTAGTGTAGTCATGTTATAGGAAATCTAAAGCAATTCACAGCGTTCGATAATTCTTTGTTAGTTGTCTCGCCGCAAAGCATGCTGTTCGGAACTCTCAATCGACCTCCATCAAGCGTTTACTCTAGTCTTACCAGCTTGTCTTACAACAACAAGATTTTGACACTGCCCAGCTTCGATAAACATTGAACTTGGCGAGACTCGGTAAAGTGCATTATTGCTGCAGCGAATCTGAAACGAATCATTGCAAATGCTAAAAACACATTTACTATGCCTTTTCGATACACAGTGGGAGTCGAATGCGGAGAACATCCCAAAGACGAGATGACAGACCTTAAAGATGTTATCCTTCTGATTAGTAAATGTAGAATAGGCTTGGTCCTGCAAGATGGACCAGATGCAGATACAGCGGAAAGCGTACACATTGGGTGGGAGATAGCGAGTCAGAGATGACATTTCATTGCATGCCTGAACGGTTGTGATCCTCACCCCTCCCCCAGTCAAAGCTTCTATTCGGAAATGGACCTTTTTGTGGTTGCGTGATCGACTTTCTGTATTAGTGATCACTTTTCTCAACATCTCTGGTTGCTTTGCTGAAGCGGTTGTAAGTGGGAACCCACAAGGTTGGCAAGTTATGGACAACACTTCGGCTTCGGATGGGACTCGACCCTATATTTGTGCTATCCGGGCACTGTACTCTTATTCCTTACACTACCGGGACCTCGCTTGCCCTCGCCCTGTTAATGGAAGGCGAAGGAAGTGAAGTCTCGCCTCCCATCCTTCATAGTGTAAGGGATAAGGGCAAGGTGCATGGATAGCATAAGTACAGGTTCGAGTCACGTCGGAGACCGAAGGTTTGTCGACCGCTAACCTTGTGAGTCTCTCGCCTCGAGTACTACATCAAAATAAGAGCAGTTAATATACAATCAAGCTAGGCAAGTCTTGAAGTATGAACGTTCCCCCAGCAACGTTTTGATAAATACCTTCACTGCAAGACGAGTTTCTCCAAGATTCACAAGCATGTGGTCAGATTTGCCGCCGGTTACATTGAAGTAGGCAGTCTAAAATTTCTGCCAAATAGGAATTGTTATGTAATCGATGAAGTGGATCAATACCTGCTCAATATCAATAACTCACATCAGGATCTACAGAGAGAGCCTTGTCAGGCGTTATCTTCTCGCTCGGTGGCTCGGACATGTCACTGTCTGGAATGCAAAGTACTGTGGATCCTATCTGTGCTACTCGAGTGGTGGAATTTTTATGAAGAATAAAAGATGTGTGTATTGTATGGGAAAGAAAATATAGCCCAAAAAGAGCGTAATGCGAATTCGAATCCTATGTTGTTCAAAGTTGGCTCAATTGGAGGCACATACTAATTGCGATATCCTGGTATACTTACGCTCCTTTGAATGGTGGCTGTATACAGGAACAGGGCAGGGATAGGTATGAGCTCACGTCTATTAGGAAGCGCTAGTTCAATCCTTGCCGAAGGCAGATCCATGCCTTGCAAAAATGCAAAAATCGGATCGATTCCAGTGTTAGGCTCAGTTTGGCAGGCCGTGTGATGAAGAAACTCAGTCACGGTAATCACGTCTTAGGTCTCAATAAGTATGATTTGCAAAGCTAGGACATCCACACGAGAATGGCGTTAAGAACCCCCACCCGAGTCCTGGGAGGGTGCGAAGTCTACCGGGGATTGAATAACCTCGACCAAAGGAGCTAGCTCGAATTGGGACTTCGAACGTGGAATCGCTTTAGTCCAGAGAGGTCGTTAATCCATTGAAGCGCAGAAACATCGNTGTACTATACCTCCAAGAGACACTAGAAAGGAGCAGTGGACTGTGTGGCAGAAGAAAGCGGCCTTCAGAAGACCTAGCTGCCTTCAGAACTTCGAAGTGGCTCGCCAAGGCTGCTGTAGCGAAGGTAAGGAACACGGAAATGGAAGTCTTGTATGAAAAACTTGATGGTCGAGAAGTAGACAGGGTTGTCTTACCACTGGCGAAAGCGCGGCACCGGACTATCGGGGTAATAAAGTCCGTCAAAACAACGAGGAAGCCTGGTGAGATCAGACGCAGGAGAACGAAATACATACATTGTAAGGCTCCTGAACAAAGAGGTCGCCTGTAAGTTCAAACCCCGATCGGAGGCTACTACGGGCTCTATTGAACTCGGAACAAAGGACGAGGTGCGCGGAGCAGAAGGAAAGAGAGGTCTGGAAATGCAACTGGTTCGGATGGGGTAGTGGAAGACGCTCGAAGTGATAAAATGGCTCACCCCATCCCTGGACACTGTGACCACCAACCCCCTAATGGTGTCGTGCTCACACCATGAAACCGTAAGGGCTTTTGGTCGACTCAAAATTAGTGGAAAGTTTTACAGTAGATGACATCTTAAAGGTAAGCAAGTAATGGAGAACTGTCGAAAGAAGCGTAGACCCTGCTACCTGCATTCCTGATCTGGAAAAGACATTCGACGACAAGCCCTCTAGAGAACGCTCCGAAAACGAAATGTTTCAGAACACATGACCTCTCTGGTCACGGACATGTACGGGGTATACTAAAACTATAGGCGTCAATTCATGGAGTGTAATAAAGCTTATCAGCTGAGATGACGATAGAATGTATATGAACGTTTGCTAACACTACGTGCTACAACATGCTACAATCACATTTCAAAATATCTCCCATGAGGGCAGGTAGGGGCCCAAATCTCGTCGCGAGTTGCACATGAGTATCCTCCTTTATTTCTTCCCTCTCGCTTTTCAGTCTTTTTTTCTAGGTCACAAACTCTGACTGCAAAATCGACAGGTCCTCTTCTAATCAGGGACCATACAGACCAGTCAAGCAGAATGGTCATTCCTTTCTGCTAATCAGGTCGGGCAGCTAGCGTCGGCACCGCTAGAGGGCGAGCTTGCATCTTTGGGCTGGAGTGCCGTCCTGCAGGGAGGACTAGGAGCTGTTTCAGAAAACGGCGGTAGATCAGTGTTTCATTACGTCCATCAGGACACCCTTTGAATACATATCCCTGTCAAACTTCACGCCGGTACCGACGAAACCACGGCCGTCTAAACCTTGCCAACTGCCCAAAAACATGATTTTGCTGTTTTTTTAGCTGTGTTTTTGCGAAAAATTGCTCGTTCGATGTTCATAGTCAGAACGTGATCGTTTTATCTTCTAAAGAATGGGTTTCCTATGAAAATTTTCTGATTAGAAAGAAAGATAAAAGTTTGAATGTGCCCCTTCAAGCGAGTTAGTAACTTTAAGCATTTTTTGGCCCTGCACTATTTGTTGAGATCAAACGTACAGCGGCACCTCTGCATAGGATTGAGAAGGCAAAGGAACTTATGCTTGACAATCCGCTCCACCGTCAACAGCGATAAGACCTGCTCTTCGGCCGCCTTTTTGATGGGTCACCCAGAATCACGGTCGACTTGCAAACGGACCATTTTAATAGCCCTATCTTTAGGAACACTAGCCTCTCTACCCCTTCTTGGTTTGTCTTTGATTGAATCTTCTATGTATCGTTCAATAGCCTTCTGTACGGATATTATAGGAATCACGAGAAATTTCATAATTCCCTTCCGTCTCTCACATGCCAGTCATTGCAAGTGGCACTGAAAGAGCCTCCATTCATAGGACATTGAAAGTTTTGAGGTTGACTTTTCAGGCTGTGCAACCGAGATTGTAACAACACCTAATTAAGCTGATGTTTCGCTACTGTCACCTTCCTAGGAGCTTGGAAAAACAAAAGCTGTTTGAGAAACCGTCGGTCAAGCATCATTTCAATCTACAGAGGAAATTTAACGGGCGTGGACTAGGAAATCAGAAGCCGTTAAATAACCTTCGAGATAGCCGACCTGTGCGGTCCGCCGATCACCCAAGCTGGTACGACTGCGGTTTAAATAGGGTGAGCCTCAGGTCAACTTGCTTCAGGGGCCTTCAGGGGCTGATCACGTAGGTCAAGCCTCCGGAAGCCACACAACCCTTGACCTACGCTGTCGATTCCCCGGGATGTCCTCTCTGCGGGGCGGGGTTAAGGGGCTTATGAGTAATCGACAAGAGTCGATCGGGATGGGGTCAGCGGTGCGCTCGTCTTTGTGTGGCTTTCAAGCACGCTTGATCTACGTGATCAGCCCTCTGGAGGCCCCTGAAGCAAGTCGACCTGAGACTCACCCTATTCAAAGCGCAGTCCTACCAGCTTGGGGTGGTGGACTACACAGATCGGCTATCCCAAAGGTTAGTTAACAAATTCCGACTTCCTACTACGTGCCCTCTGAACTTTCTCTGTAGATTGAAATAGTGCCTGACCGCATGGTTTCTCAAATTGCTTTTGTCTGTCTCTCGGTTGCTTAGCTTAAGAAGTCAATCTCAAAACTGGAAAGGATTATGCCGACATTTTTTTCGTAAATTTTTGTATTTATAAATTAAATTATAAGTATACAAATTTCATAGACAGTCGTAGGAAGACAGTATTGGGAGTTTCACTTCAATAACCATGCATATTGCAAGGAAACTTAGTTGTGCAACTAATTAACAACGGGTGAAGTGACTTGATACATTCCTTCTACCTTATATACTTCTTCGGCACCCATAATTTTGGGAAACCCTGTACGATGGATTCGAGACAACTGCACGTACTCAACGCTGCCTAACTGAAGCAACCGACGTTACGGTTTGGTGAAACGAGGAAGCAGCTCTGAGGCCATTTCCAGGGTCTGAGGCTGTAAGCCATCACAAAAAACTCATGGATGGACCAGTGAGGACCATTTTCCACGCTGATGCCATCGCTGTGATAGCGGAAAGCAAATAAGAACCCCAGGCCAAGCTGCAGAAATGGAAGAAAGGCTGTTGTAAAATGGGCTTTCTACCATTTCTGCAGCTTGGGCAATGGGATAATGTGAAAAAGTGGAGAGGATCCCGTTCCTAGCTCCAAATAGTGCATGGCTCATTCGTAGACGGTCTTGGGGAAGCCATCGAAATGGTACAGGGCTTCCGATACCTGAAAAGTACTTGCCGATGATGGCAGCGTGGACCAGGCGGTAAAAGCCAGAGTAATCGAGGCGTGGATGAGGTGGAGGGAATTCACCGTTATCCTCTACGACCATAGGTGCTTAGGAGTCAGAGGAAAGGGATACCAAACAGTAGTTAGGCCCATGCAGTGGCTGGCAGCCGAGATGGTGCTAGGAGGAGGGAGGGAGACAGACAGGACCCTTCTACGCGGTCGCGTCGAGCCCATGTCCCTTCGAAGGCTGAAAACAAGGAGAAACAAGATCAGAACAATTTGCCTTTGCCCTTTTTCCCTTGGGCGCGACGCGACCGCGTTGAAAGGTCCCGTCTGCCTCCTCTCCCACCCAGCACTACCTCGGCGGCACGCCGGCACGCCGGTCGGCCGGACTATGAAAGCAGCCAGTGCTTTACGGCAGCGAATGTTGGCCGTTGGTAAACACATGAAAGACAACTGCACTCTGCTGAAATGAGGATGTTGCGGTTGGAAGCGACTGGATGGGATCGAGCTGGAAGACATCAACGCGGCTATTCAAACAGCCCCTCCCTAACTGGAGGTGGAAAACTAACGTCCGCGATGGTTTGTGCATATGCTGAGAAAAGCGCAAAACCATCGATATGGGAGGCAATGGAGTTCGAAGCCTAGAATAAGCCGCTACGAAGAGCTGCAAAGAAGAAGTTGCGTGGCCCGGCTATCAAGAAGGGCCTCGTCAACGCTCACGTGACGGCAGAGGTTGCCTTAGATAGAAGGAAGTGGAGACCGCTGAGTAGTAGTAGGTGGTAGTAGTATCAGTAGAAACTCATTGCTATTAGGCAATCCTGTGAAAATGTAGTTGGGGGGGGGGCCACCCATCCGAAGGTCAGTATATCAAGAAATGAACTCAGTCTAACGTGTTAGCCCTCGTTATATCAGCACTGTATCGGATGCGTCGAGGAGGATGGGAATCGACCAGCTTAGCTCTTTTATGCGGTTTCAGCTAAGGGAACTTAGTTTCCCAAATGAACCTAGGTAGGGTAGGAGCACCTGGGTGGCTGGGATGATTGCCTCTTGCAAAAAAAAAAAAGAAGAAAATAAAGAAAACTTGCCCACCGCGGTGCTCCTTCCTTACGGAAGGCCTCATTTAAAAACTGGCATGTCCGTGATATAACACGACATAACACGTTTCATTGAGTTCATTTCATGATATACCGACG